TAAAACTTCTAAAACCAGAATATTTATCGCTTTTAAACACGAAAAATCACATTTGATTGGAGTTGTAAAAGCTATGTATACATGGAGTTCATGTGAATATTTGTGTTTTACATACATTATTGCAAACAAATAAACAATAGTTTCTTTGTATGAAAAAGAAAATTACGAAATTTGTTTAAAATGTTTATTCACACAAAATGTCATAAATTACTTTCATATTAGGAATATTTTAAAATAAAACAAAAAATTATCGGAATATTATTTTATCGATAAGTTATATCGTAAATTATTATTATTAAGCAATTATTATTTTATAAATATATTTGCATTTTAAAATAAACACATTTTATTCATATTTATTGGAGTTGTTAGGCATTATAGGTCTTATTTGCATTGTGACATTTGCATTTTTAAAAGTTTTATTTATTTAAATATTTCTCTAAAGTAAAATACAATTGTAAAAGTAGTAGAGATCTTAATATAATATGATTATGTTTGTAATTAAAGTAGGTACTCATTATTACCCATTACTTAAGTATTAAATAGGTATGTCATAGTACTCACATAAAAAATTGTAAAAGTGATCAGTGATCACTGAATTTTATAAAGATTTATCAAATAAGTATTACCAATTAAAGTGTAGTGCAAACAAATGAAAACTTTATAAGTTATTATTATTATATCATATTAAAAATTATTCAATTGCTTAAACCTTTTAATGCAAGTTTTATTAAAGTTACTGTACAGTACTGTATATTCTTATAAGATAATTTGTTTCTATGACTATAACTTGTAATAAATAAAAATATTGTTTTAACAAATAAAAACAATTATCACGAATTCAGTGGTTTTTCAAAATGTGGAATTATAATTATTATTGTTGTTTATTTATAAAGGAAACACTTTACTACTTATTATCAGAATTTACATTTATTTCCAATTTTATACAATAATCTATTAAATTACATGTCCAATTATATATATTATTTAGCTCAATAATTGCTATTACAAATATAATTTAACCCTTTTACAATTAATCAAACAATCTATTGTCTAAAAACTCACAATAAATGTCAAAATTTACATTTTATTTATTTAAATGTCAATTTAGAGTTGTTTTTCAGTTAGATTGAATAACTTATAAACCATTTAGATATTTTATTAATATCAAAATATTATTCTTAGTTTATTAAATACTCTAATAAATAATACGGGAATATTTTTAATATCTATTTTTCGTTTAACTTTATTAAACAATAAACAAAAATAACATACAGTATATTGCAAATTATGAATAAAACAAATGAATAAAAGTTTGTGAAATATATTAATTCCATTTATTACATTATGTTTAGATATTTTAATGATAATTGAGTAAGGCAACACTAAAGTCGGAATAATAAGTTATTAGTAACAAAATATCAATTCTTGAGATGCATCTCAAACTACTATCTATACAAATGAGAAATTCTGGGATCAATGAGTGAATAGTTTAATAAGCCGTAAGGATAGGGATTGCCTATAAAAGTGGACGGGTAAGTAAATGGGCCCACTTTGGACTCAAACACCGCATTTAAGTTGCTGTTGGGTCGCACAGGGAGTGAATGTGAACTCTGGGCTACAGTAGAGTATGCCTGGAGTATTAAATCGATATTGGTTTCCAGACTGTTCTTACAACCAGTTTCTGCTAAATAATAGCATAAAATTGACTTAAATCTGGTTTCCACGGGCAGACTGTCCCATATTTTATCGATAAATTCATTCATTTCGTTGTCGTTTATGTTTGAAACCGATTGTTCACTCTTACAGCTGTCCTCGTCATCCGATTTGTAATCAATGTCATTGTTTGTATCTGAAGTGCCTATAGTTTGTCATATCATTTGGTATATTATTAAGTTATAATTATATATTTAATGTATTACATTGATAATTTTAAGGAAAAATAGCAACTTTAATTTAATGAATAAAAACTAACCGATACTAAACTGATATGACTATTAAATTCTTGATATTTAACTTGATATAAAACTGGAAATATAATTTATAAGTTATATTTGCATGCAAAGTAAGTAATAACTATATATTGTACTTTTAAAAATGCCAATTAAAATCATATGATTGCATGAAAACTATATTAGGGAAAGAATAGTAAATTAAGTTTTTTAATTCAATAAATTATATTAAATTGATATAAAATGTGACTTTACTTCTAAAGACCTTCATTTAGACATTAAAATATCAATAAATTAAGAAAATATGAAGTTTTAAGACTACATCTGTATCCAAAAACTTTCGTAATATACAATACATGGAGTAATGAATACAAATGAATATATTCTGTAATTTAAATAATGATTTGAAAGAACTATTAAATAATTGTCAAATTACCGTCAATTTTCTCCTTTTTGATGACTGGCGGCCCAAACACCTCGGCGTCCGTTAGGTTGATGTCTGCGGAGTCCTCCTTAAGCTTACGTTTCTCGCGGATAGTAGTGGCCATCAGTTTGCGCTTTTCGGCCGTCAGTTTGCAGAGATCGCACTTACAGTCCCTTTTCGGACACTTCCTTTTGTGTCCTTTTGTGTATAGCATAGGGTTATAGCATAAGATCATTCAAATTATTCAATACTTTGGTTACCTCTGACGGCCAGAATAACTCCATGATTCGCACAGAGCGCACAGGTAGGGTGTCGTGTTTTTGTGGCACCTTTACTGCAGTCATTGCCTTTTTGGTCATCAATTTTCTCGACTTTAATACAATTCTTGATATGAGGTTTGGTCTCAGTTTTTATATCATTATTAATATGAGTCTTAATATCAGTATTAATATAAGTTTTAATATTATTTTTGATATCAGTGATTGTCTTATTCTTCGCACAATTGCTCAAATCCATGACTGAGTTGTCGG